CGGAATACTGGAACTAAAGCTAGAATATATCAAGGTTCAGTCGGTGACAGTCTTTATACTGTTAACACTGATATTTGTTTGAAAGTGATTTTTTTATTTTAAAACTTTTTCCAGTGACAATTACTGATTTATTAAGAAAATGAAATCCATGAAAGTGATATTGCAACAAGCAATGAAGAATTGTGAAAATAGGATAAGAATTGAGAAGGGGAATCAAGATCCAAGAAACTTATTATGCAGAAAAAGAAAAAGAAAAAATTTTCACTTCATCCTTGAAGTAAGCAATTAAAATATCTAAAAGAAGTAACTGTGCCAATCCCCTGCTTGGTTGCCGAGAAAAAAATTGAGAAAAGAAACCCTTTCTTGTCCTCAGAAAAGAACCCTTCATTTCAATAGTTTTCAAGGTATAAACTGATCATGAATTTTAGTTTTTTAATGAAACTTCATTTTCAATAGTTTTCAAAGCACTGTACTTGCGTATACCCAGGAATTTTGTATCTTTACGTTTCCCACAATTTGTCATCGGCCAAACAACATTAAACTTAGCTTATCAAGATCAAGCAAGAGAATTCTAAAACGCTCATCAACTTGAACAGAGGAAAGAATTATTTAAGACTTTAGAATCAAACTCTCTTCATTCCTGGAGATTCAAAGCAACCAAACAGAGAATTTCAAACAACTAACATATTACAAACAAAAGGAAAATATTAAACAAGTAGTTACACCAAGAATTTAGATTGTTAATGCAATGAAAAAACACTTAACGGAACCCATAAACTTTCTTCTCATTTCCATCAAATTCTGGGGAACCAAACAAGGCAAATTCATATAAAAACAGTAACTTCATAATTCAAATGAAAGTTCATTGCATACCTTCTGCTTCCGGCAACAGTTGTGCACATGATCCAAACCCAACGAGGCCATTCAAAGCCACAAGACTGAAAACCAGAACAGAGACCATCTGGACCGTCGAGAAGACAAAACCCATATTTTCTTTCCCAAGACAAATTCTCTCTAATGTCCTGAGAACCAAAACCAAATCCTTAAACAGAAACAGAGCAAAACAGAGTAATGGAACAGAGGAAAGTCTTGTCCGAAGGGGAAGAAGACGGGAGAATAGGGAGGTTTAGAGACAGAGAGAGTTGAGTTTTGGAAATGGGTTTAAATAGAGAGAGTCAATTGCAGCGAATGCAATGTAGTAGGAGAAGAAGACAAGTTGTATAGATGTTTTTGGTTTTGGAGAAACAGAATGAAAAAACACGAAAAGGTACGAGTAAAAAGAGTGAGTAGGTTTGACAGAGAACGGTAGGAGCCGCCGTGTGGGGCTGTCCCCAACGGCGGACGTGGTTGTTGACTATTATTTGCTAATAGCGGCAATATGTACGTAAATACTGAATTAAAGAACACTTCTTTATTGAGAAAGCAAACTGGCAGTCAATATTCTACCAAAAAAAAAACTGGCAGTTATACCTGGCAAAAATCCACCCGACCCATCAACCCGACCTTAACCCGATCCTTAAAAAACGAGTTAGGGTTTATATATCTCAACCCGCAACCCGTAGATAACCCGTATTATCAATCCGTATGAGTTACGGGTCGGGTTAGGGTCAACCCGCTGGTTAACAGGTTGACCCGTTTGTTTTATTTTTTATTATTATTTTTAAATATTATACTTATCATCCTTAATTAATTTTCTTATCAATAACTCCTTCAATTAATTCATACTCCCAATTTTTAGAGAAAGAAGAAGAAATTATGATAAGTTTGATCTAATTACCCAAGTATTATTATTATTATTATTTTTTTTTGGTATTAACAATTACCAAAGTATCATGAATGAAATGATAATGCAACTAAAAATATTAAAAGATGTGATATTAGGACATAAACATAA